GCGTAAGGGAAAATTTCCTGAGCAGAACACCAATGGCTTATGCTCTAAGATAAACAATAAACAAATAGGACCTCATAAAATTGCAAAGTGTCTATAAGGCAAAGGACGCTGTCAATAGGACAAAACAGCAACCAACAGATTAGGGAAAGATCTTTACCAATCCTATATCCGGTAGAGAGCTAGTATCCAATATATACAATGAATTCAAGAAGTTAGACTCCAGAGAACCAAATAACCCTATTAAAAATGGGATACAGAGCTAAACAAAGAATTCTCAACTGAGGAATATGGAATGACCAAGAAGCACCTAAAGAAATATTCAACATCCTTAGTCATCAGGGAAATGCAAATCAAAACAACCCTGAGATTCCACCTCACACTAGTCAGAATGGCTAAAATCAAAAGCTCAGGTGACAGCAGATGCTGGTGAGGATGTGTAGAAAGAGGAACACTCCTCCACTGTTGGTGGGATTGCAAGCTGATACAACCACTCTGGAAATCAATGTGGTAGTTCCTCAGAAATTTGGACATAGTATTAACTGAGGACCCAGATATACCACTCCTGGGCATATACCCAAAAGATGCTCCAACATATAACAAGGACACATGCTCCACTATGTTCATAGCAGCCTTATTTATAATAGCCAGAAGCTGGAAAGAACCCAGATGTCCTTCAACAGAGGACTGGCTACCGAAAATGTGGTACATTTAGACAATGGAGTACTACTCAGCTATTAAAAACAATGCCTTCATTAAATTCTTAGGCAAATAGATGGAACTAGAAAGTATCATCCTGAGTGAGGTGATCCAATCACAAAAGCACACACTGATAAGTGGATATTAGCCCCAAAGCTCAGAATACCCAAGATACAATTCACAGACCACATGAAGGTTAAGAAGTAGGAAGACAAAAGTGTTGATGCTTCAGTCCTTCTTAGAGGGAGGAACAAAATACCCAAGTGAGGAGATATAGAGAATAAATGTGGAGCAGAGACTGGAGGAAAGGCCATCCAGAGACTGCCCCACCTGAGGATCCAATCCATATACAGACACCAAATCCAGACCCTATTGTGTATGCCAAGAAATGCATGCTGACAGGAGCCTAATATAGCTGTCTTCTGAGAGGCTCTGTCAGAACCTGACAAATACAGATTCAGATGCTCACAGCCAACCATTATACTGAGCATGAGGTCCCTGATGGAGGAGTTAGAGAAAGGACTGAAGGAGCTGAAGGGGTTTGCAACCCCATAGGAAGAAAACAATATCAACCAACCAGATACCTCCCAGAGCTCCCAGGGACTAAACCATCAACCAAGGAATACACATGGAGAGTCCCATGGCTCCAGCCACATATGTAGCAGAGGATGGCCTTGCCAGACATCAATGGGAGGAGAAACCCTTGGTCCTGTGAAGGCTTGATGCCTCAGTGTAGGGAAATGCCAGGGCGGGAGGCAGGAGTGGGTGGGTGGGTGAGGGAACACCCTCATAGAAACAGGGGGAGGGAGGATGGTATGAGGGTTTCTGGAGGAGAAACCAGGAAAGGGGATAACATTTGAAATGTAAATAAATTAAATATCCAATAAAAGAAAAAAAAGATATTTACATAAGCAGTAATGTCACAGAAGGGTCAGGGTGATGAGCTATGCAGGCACGGCTGGCTCAAAGTGCAGTTGGGCCAGAGGCACTGTTGTTTCACCTGGGCCTAATCATGTCAAGAGGGCATACTGAGCTCAGGGGATTGTTGTTTGTCATTCCCATGATGCACTCTGAGAAATGGCCTGGGGCCAGTCAGGTGCCTCCAAATCCTAGTGTTGGACAGCCCTTGTTTTATACAGGGCAGGTGGAGCAGCTACGTTATGGGATGTGTGGTGTGTTGGCCAAGCTCATGGACTTGCTTTCTCAGATACTTTGTATGTTCTTGTGTTCATGTTTGTACCTGATTAAGCTCGTATTGCATAAGGTGGTTATTGATCAGTGCCTAGGCTAGTTTTATGTCAACTTGACACAAGCTAAAGGGAACCTAAACTGAGAAAATGCCCATAAGATCCAGATATAGGGCATTATCTTAATTTGCCATTGATGGGGAGGGCCCCTCTGATCTTGTATGATGTTACCCCTAGGCTGGTGGTCCTGGGTTCTATAAGAAAGCAGGCTGAGCAAGCCATGAGGAACAAGCCAGTAAGCAGCACTTCTCCATGGCTTCTGCATCAGCTCCTGCTTCTGGGTTTCTGCTCTCTTAGAGTTCCTGCCCTGACTTCCTTTAATGGTGAACTAAGATGTGGAAGTGCAAGTCAAATAAACCCTTTCCTACCCAACTTGTTTTTGATCATGATGTTTCATCACACCAATAGAAGTCCTGTCTAAGACAATTAGTCTGCATCTCCTGGTTTGTTCTAGATAGATAATGACTTTAAAAAATTATTTATTCTTCTCTTATACATTACGTTCTGAGCACAGTCCCCACCCCCAGTTCCCTTCCACTCACTTCTACCCAGATCCACTCCTCCATTCCCTTGAGAGAAGAACAAACCTCCCAGGAATATCAACTGAACACAGCATAACAAGTTGCAATAAGACAAGGCAAAACCCATTATCAAGAATGGATGAGGCCGCACTGTTGTTTTATGGGGTGTAAGGAAAACTACTGTTCTATGTAGTCGCAAGCGCTTTAATCACATTCTGTTCTAGACAGACTGACACACTTGCTTGGTAGGCCCAGAGAAGGACATCTGCCTCTCACTTCACTTACTTTCCTTCACCTCATGCCTCAGCTTGAAGTCCGATTTGCAGGGAGGCCTTTCACAAATGGCCATGATTGGCTGAGGCCATGGTATTCTTGGATCTCTGAGATCTACTCCTCTTCCTCTTGTTCCTTAGCAACAGTCATGCGTGTAACTGCGTGCATATTTGTCTGTCTCCTTGAGCACACTGCAGCCTAACTTCTAGTTATCTAGTTCAGCTTCTTTCTCCCTAGGTCTAGAGCAGTGCTGGTGTGTGAAGGAGTGAACAGGAAGAGGAAGTGTGGGATGCTGCGTGGAGTTAGAGCAGGACCATCATGTTCTTGTGCCAAAGGAGGGACTCTGGGTATATGTAGTCCTCTCTGTGTCACCTGATGAAGGGGAAAATTTTTGGTTGTGTCATGTGATCCAGACTCATGTGCTGTTTAGCTGAAGCAGACCTCTGAGAGACTACATGATATTTGGAGAAAGTATAAGTGGGACTCAACAGTGGTAGGCGCTTGTATAGGTAGCCTGGTGTAAGGAGCAGGCCCTTAGACAGGACCAACTCCATTTTGTAATAGGAAACTTGTAAGACATGTCTGGACATATCTGGTACTTGTAAAGTCAAGTCTGGAAATGAAGCTGTGCTGAGATAACCAGACACGAGTGGTTATCTGCCATGTACGTCAAGAGTAACTCCAAATTCAGCATAAAAGAGGAGCCCATCCGGAGCACTTCATCACACTTGTAGCCATGACTGACCAATGTGATCCACCGGACAAAGCCTCCTCAGCACCTGGTCATCAAAGAGTTAACTGAGAGACCTATGCCTCCAACTTCATGGCCAAGCTCCGACTTCAAACCAAGAGACCAATGCCTCCAGCTTCTTCGTGGTCAAGCACGCTAAGAGGTCAAATTATCTGGAAGCCACAGCCTGACCCCGCCTTACCAGACTCCGGACCTGTAACCCAAAACCAACATAAGGACTCAGGTCATATAATCCGTGAATGAATGATGTGTCTATTTCTATGCTTATTTTTTGGTAATTAGCAACTTATTAGCAACTTATTATGTGTGTTAATTGTGCATATTGTTAGAGGCAACCTATAGGAAATGTGACAATATCTTGTTGTAGCAATAACCTTAGCATTTGTGTTTGTGTTTGCTTGCTGTGCATTATCATTAAAGAAATAACTGAATTCCACAAACTCTCTGTCTCTTGGCGTACTCTCTTCCCTCTCGAGGAGCTGATGATCTCACAGTCAAATCCAGTATACGATCCCTGAGTGGAGCAGGACCTGTCGATCCTCTCCCCGCGGGGGATTCAAACCCCTTGCTCATAGTAGATAAGAGTCCCTGCTCGAGACACCTGGCAATACTTGTTTCTGCTGGATCCTGGCCCTTTGCTGATTTGTGTTTGGGGACATATTTTGAACTGGACTTTTGGTATCCTGACACTACTAAAATGGACTGCTGGTATACTGACAGAGAAGATTGAAATAGCTACTTCTAAACATCCCATTGTCCTATGTTCCATCCTTTCTCCCCTACTTTTGGATGGTGGGCTAGGAGTGGCCTTGAAACATTTGAGAACCCTTATTAAGGTAGGTTTTGAAAAACTATAAGCCCTCAACATAACTTCTAATTTGACTGATGTTTTCAAGAGTTTGAACTCCAAGAAGCAAAACTACTAACATGTATGGGGCTGTTCTAGGAAGAACAATTAAAGCATTAGCGATACAGGGCCAATCTTACAGGAAGGACTTTTTAAGGTGTTTTCATGAGTCGCTGCCATTTCACACATGCCCGCATGTGGTCAGACTCAAGGATACTTTTTTTTTTTGCTTGGCTTTCTCTTTCTCATTCTCTGCTTCCTCCACTGAGGAAAACGAAAGTTATCAGGGCAATTGACGTGTAGCCAACTAAACGCAAAGTCAGAGCATTTCCTGTTAGGAGTTTCAGTTTTGTTTCTTTTTTTCGAGACTCTGGGACTTAAAGATAAACAAAGAGCTTTTGATCCTCTAACTGCTCCACGACTCAGAAAAATAGAGTTCTTTACTTAATTGATTTACAGATTAGTTCCCTCGGCTCCTGGTCGCTGCAGCCGCTGTCGCAGCAGCAGGAGGAGGTAAGCACTTCCACTGGACTTCAGATCTGCTGAGTTCTCTTTGGTCTTCAGGGTGAAGCTGGAACTGTGCTCCTTTCTGTCCTTTGTGTAAAGTAGATGGGTACACTGCTAACTTCAGGGACAGTGAGCTCTAGAACAATCTCCAATAATTCTATCATGTTTTAACTATGAGTTGCTTCATTTAGTCAGATTCCCTTTGGGAGAAAGTATTCCTCGGAAAGTAGAAGCCATCGCTGAGTCTCTCCTCTGTTCTCTTCGTTCACAGACGTCTGCACAGGTCATTGGCTTCCTTATTTCTGTGTATCTTCCTTGTGTAAAGTGTCTGAGTGCCGTCTCTGATAATGCTTTAAGGTAGTGCTTTATAGAGATGACACCAGACTTAGCTTTTCATGCTTAGTTTGCTTTTTAAATAAAAAAATTATTTGACCTTTACCCACGTTTATAAAAAAATAGAGCTAATCCATTCATGTCAACCTGTGTAGATGTGCCAAAATGTAACTAACTGGCCAATGCATGTATTCATAAACAGTGCAGACCTGACTGTACTTTCTGCTGATACTCTATGTGGCCATAAGGACAGTCACAATCATTTTTTAAAGTATTTATTTATCTTATGGTTATGAATGTATACCTAAATGCTCATATGTGTACCCCATTCATACAGTAGAGGACAAAAGTGGGCAACAGACACCTTAAAATGGGAGTTTCAGGTAGCTGTGAGGGAGCTGGGATCTGAACCATGGTTCTCTAGAAAAGTAGCAAGTTCTCTTAATTGTTGAGCCATCTTTCCAGCCTCTAATACTAATGCTTTAGAATCTCTGTATCTGGGCCAAGTATTGGACCTGCTGGACGTTTACTCCTGTGTGAGATGTATGAGGGACAGTGTCATGTTACAGAATGTCTATTCCTTTCTTTGTGCTTATCAGCACCTCTCTGAATTGGCTCTTCACATTCTTGGACAACTTTTTTGCTGTGTGGTTGTGGTTTCGATTATTCCTCTATAGGATAGCTTTGTAGAAGATCATTGTTATTCCCTAACTAGTTTTTATTGTCTCTTGTTATAGGACAATTATCTGTTTTCAAAGTCAATTTGATCTTCCTTTATAGTTTGTATCTTTAGTGTCTTATTTCAGAAATTCAGTAATTAGGATGCCATGCAATAACCCACATATAAATCCCACTTGTCTGAGTGCAACAAGATTAAAGCTATTGAAAGATAAGACAAATCCTGTATGCCTCTAGTCTGTTCTTATGTCTTCTCTGGGTCTCCTCAGAATTTCGACACATGGTGTTTATAACAACTTTCTCATGAAATATGACTAGAGTGCTATGAGCGATACTTTAGTTTCTTTCAAGGGAAAGTTTCTAAGCTGAAGTAGTTATTTCTCACCAGATCCTGTCTATTGTTCTATCAGTCATTTTTGGATTAAGGTCAAAGCTCCAAACACATGAGTGAACCACAATCAAACTTCAACACATATTGCCTATAACTGTTGTGATTACTATGATGATCAAGTAATCAGGGTTGAATATTATGGGACTTTTTATGAACCCTCCAGCTATAAAAATGACATGGAGACTTTCTTATTTATAACAACATAGGCGCTGTAGCTGGGCAGACTCTCAGCTAGCTTGTACAAATTAACCCTGACTGTTCCTAGTCTATGACTTTCCATTCATTCCTTCCTCCTCTGTGTCCCTGGAAAATCTCTGGAATCTTCTTTCCCTAGAGACCTTCTTTCTGTCCAGAAGTCCTGCCTTCTACTTCCTGCCCAGCTATTAGTCATCAGATCTTTATTAAGTCAATCAGAAGGTGAAGAAGGATGGACATTTACAAAATACTAAGGCAGGTGATGAGCCATAGAAACAATAAGGAATCCGCCAGCCAGTATTTACTCTCTCCCCTTCCAGAATTAACAATTGAATAAAACAGACACATTTAAACAATGTATAAAAGGTTATCTCAACAGTAGAGACTTTGTGATCCACAAATCATAGATAAAATATTTATTGATTACTAATTTTTATTGTGTATTTTTCTCTAGTCTGGAATTTATTGTCAACCAATGTTAAATTTTATTATTTATTTATTTATTTATTTATTTATAGACAAGCTTTTGTTGGGTCTAAGGATCCAAACCAGTGGACGCACTCCCCCAGAAATACTCACAGACAGCAGATTCATTGTAATAACATAAAGTGTATTGAGGATAAGATGATACCAGTATCCTTCTTGTCTCCTCTGAGCAGGTAAGAGGGCCCCAGCCAGGTTCTAAGTAACTCAAATTTGCATCTTATCTTTTATCACAAAGAGGATTAGCTTAAGTGGCTTCTGTTTACCCAGATGTACTTGTATTAAGGGCTCATCTCCCTGATAAACTCTTATCTTGGGTCCCTTTTCTTGGAATGTTTGTTTGAGTCTTTGGAATGTGCTCCTCCTGGGATGTGCCTAGGGGGCAGCTAATATTTGAGTGTAAACCGAAACTCAGGCTTAAGGGTCTTTTAATTTTAAGTTCAAGCCGAGACTTGAAATTGCATTCTTACACTTTCCCTGTATAATTCTGGCTGGAATGGAACTCACTATCTATGTAGATGAGGGTGGATTGGAAATCACTGTCTATGTAGATCAGATTTGCCTTATACTCAGAAATCTACTTACTTCTGTCTCCTGCATGTCGGGATTAAAGGAGTGTGCCATTATTCCCAGCCCAATGCTTAAATTTAATGCTAGTTATCATTTCAAAAATATTTATTTTTCATATATAATTGCTATCCCTCCATTTCTACATAGAATATTATAGGCTTCAAATTCCTAATGTGTTTTTATTGGGTCAGAGGTCAATAGAACTCACTGGAACTCAACAGAAGCTTGTACTTTAAACTGCTATATTTTGCTAGTCACTCAACTTGTATTTGTTTTTCTATCAGTTACAGGAACATGGAAGTGACAACCAGATTGACATGGATAGAAGAAAAGATTCTGGAAAGGCTTCTTGGGAACGCATCTTTGACCCTTCTTTATCAGTCTAGTGTTCATAAACATTGCTCTGTCGAGATGACTAACAAATGTTCTCTTCAGGGATCCACAATGACAGTATTTCTGAAGGAAGATGTGATTGTGGGTGTTTTTATGCTGGAGGATTTTCCCAGTTTAGACTCTGAAAAGCCATGTACTTGTACTTGGTTTTCATTAAAAAGGAATAATAACTATGGAATATCAGCTTTATTTTTGAACACACGAGTAACACTTGATTCTACAAGTCTGCGTATGTTCTCACCCAAAAGTTTGTCACTCACTTTGAATTTTAGAGAATACAGCAGACTTTATCTAAATGATGCAACAATAAAGGAACTAGAACTGAATCCTAACTATAAGCCTGAATATTGGGCATGTGAAATTTTTCGAGTCGATGGTATGTACAAAAGGATAATCCGCTTTTGCGTTGGGTTCTAGCGTTTGCAGTTATGGTGTTATCATTGGTGTGTAAGGGCAAGGGAGTGATGCATCTGTTGTGCACTGAGGACTGAGGACTACAGACTACAAAGCAAAGAGAGTTAAGATGTACACATGTAAAGACAGATTTTGCCGTGCTTCATCTGCCCTCCTGCTGTACCCACAGATACGTTTTAAATGTGCATTAACTTATACCTCTCTTTGTTCTGTAAAACTATAAAAGTGCTGTAAGAATGCTTCCACACTGGAACATGGAATTTGAGGTAATATAAATCTGTATTCTCTGGTCATGGTAACTCAAAATGTCTCCAAAATAAACTCTTATTCCTTTAAAACAGAAAGACAGAGCAGGAGATGCAGGGGAGACAGGAGAGAGGAGCAGGAGGGAGAGAAGGAGGGAGGGAGACAGCAGAGAGACCAGGAGGGTGAAACGGATTATACAATTGCAGAGATCTGTCTTTTCTCCTCTTCCTCCCAGGATGCTGCCAACCTGAACTCTGAGTTGAAAAGGCCAAGATTAAACAAGCAGACCAGCCCTGTTTAGGAGAGAGACTTGATCACGAACAGCCAAACAAGTCAAGGAACTTACTGTGATGTGCTTATTTTCTGTAGGCATCAAGAAAAATCCAGGCTTCATAAAGAAGATGGTGACCGCCAAAGAGTAAGATATGTTCTTGACCTACCTGTTACTCATTTTATCAAGATTAATTGCATTAAATGCTGACAATGAACTAGCGAGAAAAATTAAAAATATCAAATTACTTGGATTGATAATAGTTGTTGTTGACAGATAATATTCCAGTTAATTTAAAAAACACCCCTTTCTAATTTATATATGCAAATATATTTTTATTTCTCTTTAATATATTTTTATTCCAAACAATCACTTACTTTCAGTGTTAATATCTCTCTAAAATTTGTGTTTAGTGTATTCCTTGACTATTTGCATCTATTGTATTGCTAGTTCCTCAACCTACAACTGACCTTAATACTTACATGTAATTAAAATGGTATAAAAGAAAAAAGGAGGAGGGGGGATGGGATAGGAAGATTCTAAGAAGGGGAAATGGGGGAAGGGGGTAATATCTGAAATATAAATAAATAAAATATCCAGTAAAAAGAATATGAAGTTTATATTGGAAATTATAACTAAAAATAAAGTTAACAATGGCTTGTTACAGGTTAAGATATCATTCTGCTATGTAAATACAATATATCTAAGTGTAAAATATATAATCTGGGATGTTTACGGTGTTATACATAATATATTATAAAGCTACTATCAAAAGAAGAGTGTAACTAAACCCATCCCTAAAGTGGAAGAAATGGAAGCTCTAAGGTAATTGTAGTGCTTTGTAAAAGATCTGCTGTTTAATTTCTGCATTCTAAACAGGCACCGAGGAAAACTACTCTCTGCTCTCAAAGCCTACAGGCCTTACGAGGACTTGGTTTCAGAAGTTTGCATTCTCTTGGTGGGCCCAGTAGGTTCAGGAAAGTCCAGCTTTATCAACTCAGTGAAGTCTGCTTTCCAAGGTCACCTAACTCGTCAAGCCATTGTAGGGTCTGACGAAAGCAGCATCACCAAGCAGGTAGGTTACCTAAGGATTTGTGAAAGTTGGTGATTTTGCACATTATACTGTATGTATTTGATTACTTCTTTGTAATTTTCTCTTACACATAACCTTCTTCGTAATCTACAATTAGATGCTAAGTAATTAAATAAAGTAGAAATATTGCATAAGAATTATCTCCATTCAATAATATTATCCAGAGAAGCCTTTTGTTTTTATAGACCCAAGAATTGATTATATGAAAACACCTTTTCGTAGTTGTTGCAAACACACTATAAGACTGTAGCATCTCTTTGTCATTGGTACTGTATTCAAGAGCTCAAAACGTTTCTAACATGTTCACAAGTTGCATCTTGTTTCTTGATGTAGATTTATTCAATGTGTCAGCATAGTCTGCAAAGTCAAGGCAAGATGCTATAAAACATCAAATCTCTTAAGCGTTAACTGAGATGCTTCAATGTCTGAACTCTGGTGATGTCATAGATGGGTTCTGAACTTTCTCGTAGAGTGCAGTGTTAGAGCATCTCCTGTACCGAATGTGACTAATTAGTCTCTCATGCCTTAACTCCCCCACTTTGAGGCTGAGGTAGGAGGATCCTGCTGGTCCCAGGCCACTCACTATATTAAAACATCAGCAAATTTTCTGTTTCACTCTTGTTTTGAAAGCTAACAAATATACTTTAACTCAGTATTTTATTTTTTACAGTACAGGGTTTATTCTATTAAAGATGGAAAAAGCGGGGAAACACTCCCATTTATGCTGTGTGACTCAATGGGGCTAGAGGAAGGGGAGGAAGCAGGGCTGTGCATGGATGACATTCCTCACATCTTAAAAGGCTGTGTACCAGACAGGTATCAGGTAAGATGTCCTCCATCCCAAGACGGTGTAAATTGTTTCATTGCTTTTTACTCCACAAGACCATTTGGGCTGCCACATGTGATTCCAACATTAGTACTACCCCACTTTATGAGTGTGTGTGTCTGTGTGTGTGTGTCTGTGTGTGTGTGTCTGTGTGTGTGTGTCTGTGTGTGTGTCTGTGTGTGTGTGTCTCTGTGTGTGTCTGTGTGTGTGTGTCTACTCATGAGAGAAAAGTAAAGAGATGGTCCTCATGTTCTGTGCCATTGAGAAATAAAACTAAAAGGCAGGAATCGACGTATCTAAATTCCAGGAGAGGTTCACAGGATGGTTCTGTTTGCATGGCTCTTTTCATAATGTCAACCATGAGAAGAAGTCATTTAAGTAGTTAAACCAGTGGTAGTTTAATTGTCTGTATGTTTAAGTGTAGAGAAGATGTTAGTTTCACCCTTTGTTGAGGTATGCCATAAGAGTGGGGCAATACTACCTCATGCCAGGATCTGTATAAGTGGGTAGCCGTGAAGGAAGTTACGTAATGGTTTTTCTAAGCCTTAGATTTTAAATGTATGAAATTTAAGAATGTCATGGCCCATGTCCTAGAACATCTGAGAACAATAGTAATACATTGTAAGTGCTTATAGAGTTAACCGTTTAGTGCCTTACTTTTAGGTGTGGAATATAGTGGAATCGGCTTCCATTTCTAGACACTGGTTCTTTTTTTCCCTCTCAGTTGAGCTTCATTAAAAAGCTTGATTATGTGATCCTTCATTCATTTAAAATTATTTATTAAAAATATAATTTGTTCTAGATACGAAAAGAATCACTGAAAAAAATTCACAGTTAAAAGCACAGGCATTATTTTCGAGAGACTCACAGTCTAGTTAGGTCAAGGAATTACAAAATTACAGGGAGGGAAAAAAAAAGCAGAAAGATGGGAGAGTCATATCACTAAGGCCCTCAGGTTTCATAGCAAGGAGCAAGTAAATTCAGTCCAACATTGAACACACACACACACGCACACACACACAGTACATACTTAAATGTTTCTATATTTTGCAATCTATCTTGATTGTGGTAAGGACATGCTAACTTGGAAGTTGATATTTCTTTCATTTTACTTCACCTTATTTTGCCTTGAAAAAAATAAGAAGGTCTCCTAGTCTTTAAATTTAAATGTCATTCATTCTGTCCTCTCTGTCTGCCCCTTTCCATCCATGAGTCCATTTAAGTGTGCAAAATTCTCAAAGAGGAACCTTAAATGATGCTTAGCAAAATCTTAATGGTATTTGCTTCTGGATACTGGAGATTTGAGTTGAATTTTAAAAGTATTCTTTGCATTTTCCTTTAATGATTACAGTGGTTAGTTAACAATTTTACCGTAACAATAAAGCCAGCTGTCTGTGAGAAAGCTCTGCTGAGTGAGATTTTGGTACCTATGCTTAGAGGAAGGTTTTCCTAAGCAATCAGGGAAGAAGACTGGGGAAAGAGGAGATGGAGTGGCTGTGCTTTCTGCTGTACAAATTAAGCAGAGGCTCTGCAAAGTGAGTATCAACTTCTGTTTCTGTACAGTTCAACCCATGTAAGCCTATTAAGCCGAAGCACTTCACTTCCGCCGCCTCTGCACCTCTGAAGGGCAGGATTCACTGCGTGGCTTTTGTCCTAGACATCAGATCTGTTAATACACTCTCTGATAAAATGGTGGCCAAGCTGAAAAAGATCCGCAAAGATGTAGTAGACTGTGGTAAATCTCGTTGTATAAATGATTACAATTTCCTAGGGAGTTACAAAGGAAGTAGTGAAGAGCCATATGCTCTGTAACCTTTGGCAAATGTCCTGAGCCCCAAGTCGGTGGCAAGCAGAGATTGGACCACTGAAAAACTTGTCTAGCCCTCATAACTGAAGGCCTAGGCTGCCTATAGGTTTCATTTGTATAATCCTCTTGTGGTTTTTTTTTGTTTTGTTTTATGTTTTTTTTTTAACTAAAATAGCTTACCATTTTATTTTCATGTTTCACAATGTAAGTGAAAACTGCCCCTTTTGTATCACTTCTCCCTCCAAAAGTATTCTCTCTGTTAGGAAGGAAGTTCCTTGACATGCATCTAGTAAACACTCCCGGTCAGCACTAAGATCTCCTGGTGAAACAGAACAAGAAATACAAAATGATGAAGAGTGCTTCCGCTTTTATCTGTCTGGCAGGGTCATGCCGGGCCGCGTGGGCACCATCATAGGGCGGGCAGGGGGTCTCATCATGGGAGGCTCAGACATCATGGGCAGGTGGCCTCCCATGGGTGGTCTCATCCCAGGAACATCATCCCAAAAAGAGAGGAGCCCATCATTGGCATCATGGGAGGGCCTCCCATGTGGGGTGCAGGCATCATGCCAGGCTGAGAAAGACCCTGGAGATTTGGAGGAGGTGGGATCATAGCTCCTGCAGGCGGAGGAACAGAGAATGGAGCCGGAGGGATCTTTCCTTGTTGAAACGCAGCCGTTGTTTTGTCAGTCAGGCTCTGGGCCTGCTCTTCCATCCATTTATGGTAATAGTCTTTTACATTCTCTTTGTGTTTCCGACCACAGCCACTGCAGTGTGTCTTCCTCACAGACGGAGAATGGTGGGATATGTAACACAGTAGTCACAATAAGACTTAGGTATGATGCGCACAGGCTACCCGGGTCCCGACTTGTGGTTTTTAAAGGGACTCACCTTCTCACAGGAATTAGCTAATAAGATTAAAACCAGGAAGCTGGAACTGTTACACTGTTTTATCACTTAGCAATTCATGAATACATAGCTATGTCTACAACCCAGGATACACAGAAACATCTCATCCCTACAAAGATTACACTCTGACCGTTCACCATCCTTAACTACTGTGACCACATCTTTATGGTTATGTCTTCATTTGAGAATATTGTATAAATAGAATAATTCATAGGCCACATTTTTGAGAATGGCTGTTTTAACTTAGCCTAACTAATGGCCTTTCAAGTCCATGTCAGACCTTCTTCTATGTAGTGACTGTTTTACTCTTTGCTTGTTGAGTAATATTCCCTGGTATAGGTATACCAGGATGTGTTTACCCATTGTCTAGGTTTTAGATATTACAAAAAATGTTTCTGAACATTAGTGCTTTAGGTTTTTTTTTTTTTTTCCTAGGGAGCGTAGTTCCCTAAGGGTAAGACTTCCATGTCATGAAAAAAGTATATATTAATTTAAAAAAAATCACCAAAATGCTAAACAGAGAAATGACACCATGTTACTTTCTAATTAGGGCTTTATGTCCAATCCAGGTTTTCTGTATTCATTTTAAAATTTGATATTGTTGTTGTCATTATTAAAAATTAACATCTGTAATAGTTATATAAAAATATATTATCACAGTCTTGATTTGCTTTACCTAATCGACTCTTTAGTTCAATAGTGCACTAGCCATATTTCTCACTTTAAGAGCAAACCAGGTTTTCAGATTTACTGTGAGTTTAGATAGATCTCAAAATAAGCTCTCCTGTTGGGAGGAAATAAGCTTTGGAAGAGGTCTTGCTCATTACTGAGATTATTGGGAACAGTTCACATCCAACTTTTCAGAGAACAGTGTTTATACATACATTTACAAACTATCTTGCCACATTCCTATAATAATGACGTCTGTTTGACTCAGGTATAGGACATGTAGCCTTGCTTACAAATGTGAAGGACTATGATGAAGTTCTTGATGACAATTTTGCAAACATGGCGGAAAGTGTGACTTCTCTAAGCCAGGTAAAACATGGTACTTATAACCAGATGATACAGGGATAGAGTCAAAGCTATATGCTCGATCACTGTCTTCTCTCTGTCCCCAAGTTTACTGTCTGTGCGTGTGCGTGCATTTGTGTGCGCACACATGATTGTTCATATGTGAAATGAGAATTAGGTCAAGTGTGTTTGAAGCCTTGAGTTCAGTCATTAGTACAAATAACTGGATTAGTTGCTCAGTTCAGTCCAGCTTATATTTTGCTTTACAACCATAATTATCCATATTATAATTCCGTTATGAAGAGGATTTATCAATCCATTACCATTTCAGTTTCTACCATTAGTTTACTTAATATTCCGTTAAATTTCTAGTATGTTCTTCATATGTATACATATGTATGCTTCATGAATATATTTTTTTACATAAAATGTATCTTAAAAACATTTTCCACAGGTACAGAATGTTCAAAACATGCTGAATATTCCTGTAGCTAACATCTTGATGGTCAGCAATTATGCTTCAGAGCGAAGCTTGGAGCCTATTAAGGACGTTCTGATCTTTGCTGCACTCAGGCAGATGTTGAGGGCTGCCGATGATGCCTTAGCAGACTTGCCTCTCGAGGACACTGGTCACCTGGATCCTTTCTAAAGCACTGTCTTTTGTGAAACCCTCAGCTGTATGCAGTTCGGTGGGGTGTTTGGGGACCATTTTCCTAGCCCTGACATGTATTGCAATATGTGCTAATTTCTGCTTTTGCTTGTCTTGTTTTGGAGCAATTTGAGGATTGGTACATGCTCCTGTGACATTAGTGTCCCTGATTTTAGCTTAAGCCTGACTGCTCCAAGGAGAGGCACTCTGCCGAAAACCTTTGTTAATGTTTCCTGTCCTTCAACAATGAGTCACATATCAAAAATGAAGGCGAACCCTGAGAAGTGAAAAGAAGAGAGATGTCCTAGGACAAATGGGCTCCCATATGCCCACACCATCTACAGTTTTACATGTGAAGAACAGAAGTGTCAGATCCCCCCGGAACTGAAACAGGAGCTCACGAACCATCTGATGTGTGTGCCTTTCTAAGCTCCTTAGGGAAGACGAACTTGGCTTTGCTTTTGCTTCTCCAGCACATTAAGCAACTCTATGTGCCCTCATGATTGCACAGCAGTTAGAAAATGATGTAGATGTCTGCTATTCCAAATAGAGAACGAGTTCTCGGGAAACAGGATTTGCCGTGTAGTCCCAGAGCTCGTCACAAGCTCTAGTAAGCGTTAAGGGTACTCACGATAACTCCTCTCTATCACTTTCTCTAACTCGATGATATTTACTTCCATATCTACTCCATGTGGATGGGAAGACACAGAGTGAGATGAGGAAAAAAGGAAAAGGAAATGAAGGGTGGAGAGGATTTCACTTGTCTCTGATTGAAAGCCTGAATGTCTCTAAACAAATTTAAATGTATTGAGGAAAGCTAATATCTGTTAATAACTTGATTAATTATATTAACGTTTTAATTTCACAAAATAAAGTTTCTTCCTGAATGTTTCCATGCTTGATTTTATTTTTTATTTTTATTTTTTGTATTGGATATTTTATTTATTTACATTTCAAGTGTTATCTCCTTTCCCGGTTTCCCCTCCGCAAACCTCCTATCCCCTCCCCCTCCCCCTGCTTCTATGAGGGTGCTCCCCTATCCACTTACCCACTCACACCTCACCACCCTGGCACTCCCCTCCACTGGGGCATGGAGCATTCACTGGACCAAGGGCTTCTTCTCCCATTGATGCCAGATAAGGCCATCCTCTGCTACATATGAGGCTGGAGTCATGGGTCCCTTCATGTATACTCTTAATCGATTGAATCCCAGAACATCATAGCTGTGTTTCCACAGTGGAAATATTGAGAGATGAAATCTTACAGGTCACCAAGGAAAGTTGTCATGCAAGTCCTCCGAATGATTCTGAAGGCCCCCTGCTATCTGTCCAAGTTAAAACTACTGTTAAAGGAAAATAAATCTCATAATATTCTTTTCAGCTGTTTTTGTAGATCTTCCTAATTCTTCAAATTTTTTAAAAATGTTTTTAATATTTCATTATTTTGGTTCATATCTATTATTTTTAATTATGTGCATATGTGTGTGTCTGTGTTGGTATGTGCACATGAGTACAGGTATATATGGAGAAAAGAGATGTCAGATCCTTCTGAACTTAAACAGGGGTCACGAACCATCTGATGTCTGTGCAGGGAACTGAAAGTGTCCTTTGCAAAGGCAATATACACTCTTAACAGATGAGATATCTCTCTGGTCCCTTAATTCTCCTTTTAAAAATATGTTTTGGTTCAATAGGTTCTTGTATCCTGATAATGTCACTTACTTTCAACCAGATTACTATTTCTTCTGTGTTACTAAGAGGACAAGAATTCCTTCAGGATAGTTATAAGGAAATAGTTTTTGTTAACATAATGTTTTAAGGGAAGTTGTGTTCTTGCGAATGTTCATCAAGCCATAATGCCATGAAGACATAGGGTTTTTTTAAACATTTTATGAATTCCTTTTGAGTTTCATATCATGCACTCAAGTCCTGCTCTTCTCCATCCTCCCTTCATATCCACCCTTCACCCTTTTGCCCTCCACCACCCTGCCCCAAGATATAAAACACACAAACAAACAAAAAACAAAGCATAGAAAACATCTCATTGAGGACACTGTGTTATGTTATGGAGTGTCCCACCGTATATCCCTCTGTCCACACATCTTCACTTGCAAATGTTTATTGCAATGAGGCATTGGTCTGGTTTGAAATCTCTGGCTTTTGTGACACCATCAATATTGGACCCTCATCAGGGCTCCTCTCTGTCATCCCATTACTGCTCTGTGTCATTGAGATCCTGCTGCTTTAGAACTGCAGGACTGGACCTTTCATGAGTCCCAACCATTTTGCAGATGATATATATTTCAGGGTGGGCCAACTCAGAGCCCCGAATCTGGACCTAGGTGGCAGCCAGCTGGTCAGTGCACTGGCTCTCCCTTTTACATACCACCAGGGCAAGATCCCCAGCACTGCTCCAGTTAGGCACCCAATGCTGCCACCAGCAGGAGGCAGGGTCAACTTTCTGGTTCTCATGCTCTCACCTACACCCATGCCTCCAGAGCCAGCTTCACTGTGCTGCCCGGCCAAGGCATGTGACCCACTATTCTAAATGCTAAAGCCTTCAAAGGGCTCTCCTGTTCTCACATCCTCAGGGCTTGCTCACTTGTTGCCCAGGTGAGATGCAGAGCCCACTCTCCCAAGTGCTACAGCTAGTGAAGGTGCAGGGCCTGCTCTCCCAAGTGCTGTAGCATCTAGGAACAGAGTCAGCTGTTTGCCTTTCATGAGTCTGAGGCCAGCTCTCCTGACTGCCTCACGTGTCAAGGGGGTGGGGGAAGATGGAGAGTTTAAAGGAAGATCTAGAAGCTGAGTAACAAAGGAAATTGATGGTAAAGACAGAGGTAGATATGGAGAACAGGATTTGAGTAGCAGCCAGTGTAGCTGTGACTGGATGTGGAAAGTGCAGATAGAAACATCAGGTGGGCCTTCTTGCACGTAACCTAGAGACAAGCGAGGCATGGACATCGATACTTGAGAGAGACTGAAAATGGCTGAAGAGTCACCAGTCTCCACACTGACCATAACTTTACTATTGGTGTTAGGAAGAGACTGTCTGTGCAGGTGACAAGTCCTCATTTTGTATAAAGACATAGCAGAGAGTAACCTTATGAAGGAGATATAGACCCTAGAAGGAGGGTGAGTGTGTAATAGCCAAGGGAGCAAGACATGGAAGAACTGTCCATTGGAACATGCATACACTTTGGGAGTAAAAGCCTTGCGGCCAAGTCTACTGCTCAAAAAAAATCAACATGTCCAGTAATGGTTTATAAACATACATGTCTCATGGAATTAAATGTGAAGTTGAAATTTACACAGGGAAAGGCTGGCAAGAGCAGGACTCAAGAAGGCTGAAACTTCTACATAGGAGGGGGCTTTTCTTGACTTGCTGACTCTTCAAATGTTTCTCAGGGGCACTGAAGAGTAGTGGGACTTACCATTTGGTACATTCTAGAAACTTCGGGGATTTTGGAACTTTATATAATTTAGCATTCAGCAAGGTGTGTAGCTAATGTCATTGAATTCTTTCTTGACAAAGAAGTGTATTAAATGGTTCAATAAACAAGGCATGAGTATTGTGTGAGGCAGTGGGATGGTGAGCGGACTGATGGAGTGTTGGTGCTAGAGCCCTTGAGCCAAGTTGGTGAAGGGAGACTTTTACATTACAAAGTAATGGTTTCTAAAGTATATGACAACACTTTGCAAACTCATCTAGCATCTTCCATGTGATACCAAGAGTATGTGAATCATAGTGTATAAGCCTACGTGTTCTTTAAAAAACAGAAGTCTAACAGATTATGACTTGTTGCTTTAGTCATTAGTACAAAGTGGGTCTAGAATTAGTTATGTTGAATGAAATATTTAAAAGGTAACCCATGCTACTGCCGGCATGGCTGGCAGGCTGGCCTGTTCTCAGCCCTGCAGACTTTCTGACTCAGAGCTCTGAAATCTCTCCACTCAGCTTGCTAAGTTCCCATGGTGGGCGGGGCACTGCCATGCATGCCCCACACTTCCAAACTCCTGTGGCTGCCTAGTATGCTACCATACCTTTCTCTGGAACCCAGCTGAGTCTCTATGTGAAGGAAAACACTACACAATCTTAGTTTAGCATCAACAGGCAACACAATCTCTGGGAGCAGAAACTAGCATCCTAATTTTGTAAGCTACTTAAGTTATAAATCCTCTGGTGGCGCATCCCGTTGGATCCGCCACCTGAACTGATGACCTCTTATTACCTACATTATGTCTCCATGCTCTCTCCTGTCCAAGAGGAAGTACCTCTTTCCTGCCTCCCCTCTTCCTCTCTCTGATCCTTAAGTCATGCCTCCTTCTCAACTAATGATTGGTTCCTTGAAATCTTTATTTATTAGGGGAAGGTTCTGCCACATAGTTATAAGGAAAAAGCTTGTTTGGGGTGCCAAGCTGGCTCCACATGTTTCAGAGATGAGCAGACAACCCTCAATCTGTTAGGATCATCTCAGTCTGATGCTGACGTCACTACTCAAGAACTATGCTGATCAAAGATCTCACAGTGATCTTACAATAACCTCTCTGTTGTCTATAGATTATATAACAGAAAGATATACTCCTGTCTTGAGAGTTAGATAAGGCTAACAATTTGACCTATTGAAATACATCTCTGTATATACAGATGGAAAATACTACTAATGTACAGGGTTAGTGCTTCCCACTACGAAAACTGGCAGATCCAAACTGGGGACTTTAAATCCAGGTGGAATTTATCAATAATTAAGCTTATATGGAACATTTATGTCTTCTTCAGGTTCAAAGAATGTATATATCAATTTCATCCTTTAGTTTTCTTTCTTTGTTGTTCAGGCTGGCCTTAAAATCATTATCCTTCTTCTCAGGTTCCCCAGGTTAGGATTTTAGATGTGTGCCATCAACCACAACAGGAAATACAAG